CTCACGTCCCCGAGGTGACCGCCAGGCACAGGGCAGCCAGACACCTCAGTGAGGTTCCCAATGTCATGGGCGGGGGACATCCAGGAAGGCTTCCCAAAAGAAGTGACATCCAAGCAGAGACCCATGAGCAGGGACCAATGAAACAGTCATTAAAAGTTGAGTTCAGGGGCTGAAGTGATAGCCCAGCGGGTAGGGCATTTTGCCTTGCACGCGGCCGACCTGGGTTCGATTCCCAGCATCCCATATGGTCCCCTGAGCACCGCCAGGAGTAATTCCTGAGTGCAGAGCCAGGAGTAATCTCTGTGCATTGCTGGGTGTGACCCAAAAAGCCAAAACAAAACAAAAAAAAAAAAAACAAACAAGAAACAAAAGTTGAGTTCAGGGGCCAGAGTGGCCAGACAGCGGCTAACCTGGGTCCAGGCCTCAGCACCACAAAGGCCTCCCTGAGCCCCACCAGGCGTGATCCCTGCGCATCGCCAGACGCGGCCCCCAAAGCAGGAGGCGTCCGGGCAGGCGGGAGTCCCCAATTCGGTCACTAGCCACCACGGGGTCCCCCAGCACCACTGGGTGTGGCCCCAAGGCCCAAATCAGCGTGTCACGGAGAAGCAGCAGCACTGAGCGCCAGGGTGCGGGGTGCTCCCGCCCGCAGGGTGCTTGTGCAGCGACAGCACCCCAACCTGGAGAGCGTCCTCAGCCACAGGCGGCCTCCTGGAGTGACCCCGGGGGAGGTCCCCCCATCAGGCCCCAGTGCTGGTGCCTTCCACTGAGAGGGGCCAAGGGGGGCAGGGCCGTGCCCTGAGCAGAGAACAGGAAGTGGGTGCACCCCCCACACACACTGGCCAGGAAGTGGGGGGGTCCTGGATGTACCTGTCGGAGGAGACAGGTTCCCGGCCGGGCTGGGGAGCAGTTTCCAGACCCCCCAGAAGCCGCCATGCTCCCGTGCCTGCGGCGGCCCGGCCCGAACCCACACAGCGCGCCAGTGGGGGGGTCTGGGAACTCACGTATGCCGGGCTTCAAAGGCCCTGCTGGGGAGTGGGGGAGCCCCAGGGCCCCCACAAGGGCCTCCGCCCGCGGGGGCGGCAGCCCCGGACATGCCTGGCTGGGAGGTGTGGGGGGCGAGGGGGGTCCCAGGTGCAGGGCTGTGGCGGGGAGATGGGAGACGGGGACCCCCGGCCCTCAGGCCCCTCTCCCCACCTGGCTCCAAACCACGGCGCCTGAAAAACCAGCTCAACCACCAGCCACCCCCACCCCCACCCCACCCCGGGCCACCCGCAGCCGGACCCGGGAGAAGCGCGACGGGCGGGGTCCCAGCTCCCCGCCTGGGGAGTCGGTCACTTCCTCCCCAGCAGGGACGCTCGCTGTCCCCAGAACCCAAGGACATGGCCACGGGCTATGACAGACCCACAGGCCTCGGGCCACGGGAGCCCCAGGTGGTGACCACCGGCCGTCACCCGCCCTGTTGGGCCCTAAATCCAGACGCTCCTGTTCAGAACGGACCACGCTGGAACCCAGAGACGCAGACACGGGCCCGAGGTCACACAGCGCCAAGGCGTAGGCCCCAGCAGGCGCAGCTGCTCTCCCCAGGGTTGGGACACCTTGGGAACAGAGAGCGGGGACACGAGGCCAGGGACTGGGACCCTGGAGGCATCCAGAGACCCCCTGCACAAGCCCCACCCCTGCCCTCGGCTCGCGCCCACCTGCACCTGCACGAGGGCCCCGCCCGCAGGCAGGTGTAATTTCATCGGGGGCTGCGGGTGACTCACACCCTGGGGTGAAATTCCAGCTCTGCCGGGGGAGGGGGGAGGGGGTACAGCAGCATCTCCGGGAGACTCGAAAAGCCCTCCCCGGGCTGGGCCCCGGGCCAGAGGGGCAGGCCAGTGGGTGCTGGGGCCCCGTGCTCCGGAGGGGAGGGCCGTGGACAGACCCGCCCTCACGGGACCCCAGACCCACGGAGGGACTCCAGACCACCCCTCAGGGGACCCTAACTCCCAGGCCCACCCTTCACAGGGGCCATGCTGGGGGACCCCCCTGAGACCCATCGTGACGCGCGCCCCCCCACAACACAGTGACAGGGAGGAGCGGGGGCCAGCAGGTGGCTGAGGGGGCGAGGGCTGCTGGAGTCCAAACAGTGCCCTGAGCCCACCAGGGCGAGTCCCTAGTGTGGCCCCAGCACCAACCAGACACACGATATGGGGACAGGATCCCCGCCTGCTAATGGAGGTGGGTTACAGACCTGGGGGTCTTCCGGGTTCTCCCTGGAAGGTGGAGTGACAGACAACGACAGACAAGACAGGCAGACGGACAGAGGGACAGCCGCAGACCCCCTGTTACCTTGGCTCTTCCAGGAATCCGAAAACAGACCTGGAGACCCCAGACCCCAGCAGCACCCAGGCAGGCCAGCGCCCCACCCACCCACCCACCCAATCACAGCCCCAACCCGGCCACCACGCCACGGGGGCCTCACTCCCCCCGCCCCCCGGCCGTCCCTCCAGGCCTGCCCCAGGGGCCCCCAGACCACAGCAGTCCCGAAGGATGAGGCGGGGGGGGGGGGGGGGGGGAGGGGGGCGCCCACCTCTGCTTCAGCTGGGCGAGGGGCAGTGCTGTCCCCCAAGGGTCCCTGGGAAACAGACCCCCACCCACACTAAGACAGCTTGCACGGCAGCCCTGCACGGCAGGCCTGACTCATTCCTCTCCCCGGTCCCCCACATTGGGGGTCCCCAGGCACCCTCCGCCCCAGATCCAGGTGGTGCAGACAAGCACAGACTCCAGCGCACGACTCCTTGGTCCCAGCAGTCGCTGCCCAGGGACGGCTGGACAGGGAGCAAGGGGTCTCAAGCACGGAGGAGCCTCCACCTGGTACCGGCCCGGCAGCTCCTGCCTGAACCCCCAGTTCAACCCCCATTCCCAGAGGCAGCAGAGGGAAGGGCCTGGCAGGCACTGGGGTCCCCCAGGCCCAGGGGAAGGGGTCCGAGAGACCAGTCCATCCACCCCCCCTGGTCCCGAGCAATGGTCACTTTCCTCCCCAGAACGGGGGCCCAGCCCCGCCCAGCCCCCCTTCACTCCATCAGCAGAGAAGTGAGCAGGGTGTGGGGGGGGGGTCCCTAGCTCCACGGAACCCCTCCTCCCCCCACTACACCTCCTTGGCTTCCTGCCTCAAACGGCCTCCCGGGCACCCCAGATTCCCAGGCAAGGCCCCAAGTCCAGCTCCGCTCCCCACTTCCTGCCCGTGGGACCCTGGGCAGCGCTGACCCTGCCTGGCCCCCGTGATGGGCGCTGGGCATTAGAAAGGGGTCTGCGAAGCAAGGGAAGGGACCAGGCCCGGGCTGGGGTTTGGAGGGGGGCCTGGCTGGAGCAAATGTGGGGGGGGGGGGAGTTCAGAGGGTCTGAGCACTGGATGAGGAGTAGGGCTCCATTCATTTGCCCCCTGGTCATTCACCAGGCCCCGCCCCATGGCTCTGGGCCTGGGGGGACAGTTAACCCTTGAGGGAGGGGACAGGTTCTGGGATAGCAGACCCCAAATCCCTGGAGGCTGACCCCAGCAGGGTGGGGTCCCTCGGGACAGTACTGGGCAAGGCAGGGCTCAGTGGCCGCTCAGGTAAAGTGCTGGGCTGAGCACCGAGGCCAGAGTTTCTCAGGGGGGACCTCCTGGTCTGAGCGTCTGAGCCCCTTAAGGAGGCTCCCCGGATGGGTCCCACCTTCCCCCCAAGTGCAGACTGCAGGAAGGGGCAGGTAAGAGCCGGTGGAACTATGGGGGGCCAAGGGCAACCCCCGCAGCAGACAGCAAGGCCACAGGAGCCCCCTGGCCGTCAGCCCTGAGGGGTCCCACTGTCTCCTTGGGGCCTGTCAAGGAATCATCTGTGACCCTAAGGGCACCGCAAAGTGGGGACGGCAGAGCCCTCCTGCGGACCCCCGCGTCCACAGCCCTCCCGGTGACCCCAAAGCCCAGGCTTCCTGGGGATCCCACCCCCTCCCCCTTCCGCTCTCCCTCCGCTGTCCTCTGGGACCCTCGAGTCAGAGCTGCCACTTTCTAGGTCACCCCCAGAGCCGGCTGCGGAACGGGGTGTGGCACAGAAATCTCCGCATCCCCCAAGCAGGTGGTGGGACCTGCCGACCCCCTGCCATCCGAGAGAGGCCAGAGTGACCGCTGGCCCTCCACGGCCCCCACGGGGGCACCTGTGCCCTCCAGGACAGCCGCCGGCCGGCCACCTCCCGGCCACGGCGGGGGCCCTGCCTTCATCCCGGAATGACGGTGCTGAAATGCGCGGCGGGCCGGCTGCCCCGGACCCTTTCCTTCTGCTCCGGGGGAGCGACGCCCCCCAAACGCGCGGAGTAGCTGGGGGGGGGGGGGCTGCCCTCACCCACCCAGCTCCCAGCAGCCCAACACTGCCACGGCCCCCCCCCCCCGCTGCAGGCAGAGCCGGGGCGCCCCCAGAGCCTGGCCAGGAGACCCCCACGGCCGGGCACCCCGACTTCCCAGCGGGCACCCCCGGTGTCCAGCCCTGCCGGTGCGGGGGAGCCCGGGTCCGGGGCAGCTGTCCGGAGTGGGGCTCCCTCCGGGGCTGCCAGGGGGTCCCCCTGTGCGCCCAGCCCGGGGGTGGGGGGAGGGCCTGGTCCACCCACGGGGCGGGGGGGGGGTGTCAGGTCATCACCCCCGGGAACTCGCGGCCCGGGCGGGCTCCCCATCCGAAGGGGCTCGGGACCACCCACCGACCGGGCGCCCCCCCCCACCCGGGACTCCCCCCACCCGGTCCCGGGGAGCGCCCCGACCCCCGCCCCGCCCTGACCTCCTCCGCCGGCCGGCCGCAGTGGGGGGCGGCGGCGGCGGCGTTGGCGGCGTTGGCCCCCACCCCCGCGTCCGACAGGTGGGGGCGCGGCGGCCGCGCGGCCCTCGCGCCCCCTCCCCAACGGCCGTCCGGTCACGTGCCGCCCGGGGCGCGCGGGGCGCGGGACCCCGGCTCGGGGGGCGGCGGCGGGGCCCCCCGCCAAAGTTTCTCTCCTACCTGCGGGGTCCCGCGCGCGGCGGCTGCGGCGCCCCGGCCCGGCCCGGCCAGGCTCGGCCTCGGGGGGCGCGGGCGCGGCGGGCGGCGGGCGCGGGCCGGGGGCGGGCGGGCGGCTGCGGCGGAGGGCGGGGCGGGGCGCGGCGGCGGCGGCGGCGCGGGGCGGGCGGGAGCCTCTTTGTTCTGTAATCCCAGTAAGATTGCCAGCCATTCGCCCCGGCCCTAATCCCAGCCCCGCGCAACACCACCCTCCATTGGCTGCCATCCGCACGCGGGATTAGCCCGCGCGGCCCGCCCCGCGCCCCGGCCTGGGCACGGCGGGGGGAGCGCGCCGCCGCCGCCGCCGCCTCCGGGCGGGCCCCCCGGGCTGCCGCCGCCCCCGCGCGCCCGGATTAGCGCCGCCGCCGCCGCCGCCGCCGCCTGGTCCGTGGGCCGGGGCGCGCGGGCCGAGGTCGCCCCGAGACGCCCCCCGACCCCCGCCGCGCGCGCCCCCCTGGGCCTTTTGTCGCCCCCCCGCCCCCCCACACACACACGCCGGGGTTGGGGTGGGGGGGCGGGGACCCGGCCGAGGTCGCACCCCGGGGTCCGGCCGGCACGCCCCGCCCCGTACCGGCCACCGGCCGTCCTTGGCAAGGTGGGCGCGCGCCCAGGCTCCGCTCCCAGCCGGGGGAGGGGGCGTGGGGGGCGCCCGGCACCCCCCCACCCACCCAGGTGCAGGGGACCCTGGTCCGGATGGGGCCAAGGGCCAGCGCAGGGCTACAGGGGCCCTGCCGGGGGTGGCCCGCAGCCGCATCCAGCTCCCTGCCGCCAACCTGCTGAGGGTCCCGTCCCCTGTGCCTGCCCCAGGCCCTGCCCACCGCCACTGTTGCTGTCTCCCTTAAGGCCCAGAGGCTTGGCGACACCCCCGGGCACTCAGGCCTGCTCCCCCTAGAGCCCCAGAGACAGGGGGGTCCACTCTGGCTCTCCCCAGTTGGCAGCCTGGCCTCCCCAGCCTCCATGTCCCCTTCGGAAGTCCAGGCCCACTGTGGGTCCAGCGAGGCCGGGAATAGGGACCAACGTGAGAGCTAGTGGCCCAGTTCAGCGGAGGGAAGGCAGGGACACCCAGGAGGGCCCCCTGGAAGAAGCCCCTTTCTCCCAGAGCAGGCCAGCGTTTGTTTATTATGGTCAAGAATGTGGACCAGTGACCCTGGGAGAGGCTGCTGGGGCGATTGTCGCCTGGGGTCCGGGTCATCTGGGTCCCCGGGCACCTCCCGGCTGCCCTCGTGACCCTGCCGGGGGCCGGTCCCTTTCCTGGGGCTGAGTCCTGCTCTTGCCCTGCCGGGTCACCTCCTGTCCCTGTCTTGTGACAACCTCTTCCTCAGCCCCAGCTGCGGGGGACTGGGGGTCCCCACAGCCTCATCCTGATGGCGGTGCCGCCTTGCTGCCCTCGTGTGCAGCAGCCCGGGAAGCGGGGCCTCGGCGGGCAGCGGGTTCCAGGAAGGGCTGGCACGGCCGCCGGCTGTGGGATTCTGGGCACAGAAGCTTCAGCCGCGGGGCCGGTGCCAGGCGCCTCTGGAGCTGGGATTGGCTGGCGCCCCCTGCTGCCCTCTGCAGGCAGGTCTGGGGAGCATCAGTTGGGGGGGATGCTGCCCCCCACCCCCACCCCAGGGCTCCCCAGAACTTCCCCCCTGAGTGAACCCAGGTAGACTAGGGACTCTCGGGGACAGCAGATTGACCTATGAGTGACCGGGCTCTGGCCCCACCTTCACACCTAGTATGTTCTGGGGTCACTGTTGGGTGTCGTCACATGCCACACGGCCAGACCCTACGGTGCTGGGTCCGGAGGGACACACCAGAAAGAGGCGGTGCAGGCTGTCCCCCCACCCTGGACACACCCCCTGCAGTGACCCCACCACCCTCCAACCTCATTTTGTTTTGGTGGGGGGGGGGTGGTGAGGGTCATACCCCTCCGTGCTCAGGTCTGACTCCTGCCTCCGCACTCAGGGATCACTCCTGGCGGTGCTCCCGGGACCATCTGAGATGCCGGGGATCGAACCCAGGTCGGCTGTGTGCCAGGCCAGCACCTTCCCACTGTAAGTCAGACTCCATGGAGTCAGGACGGTGACCCCCGCACCTCTGAGTCTCCATGGTGCAAGAGGAAGGCAGCCCAGCGGCTTGTGGTGGGCCCTGAGACCTCTCCTGCCCCATCTGCCGCTTTCCTGTCTCCTTGGGCCCCCCTGCATGCCAAGGATTTCTTCTGGAAGGTTCGGTTTCTCCCTCATACTCAGCATTGACTGTCCTCAGGGTCTCCGACTTCCACCACCAGCAGCGCCCCGGGCTGGGAGGTCCCTGTGACCAGGTAGTCAAACCGTGGTACCCTGGGCACTTTCAGAAGTGATCCCAGAAAAGTAATCCCTGAGCACAGAGCCAGGAGTGAGCCCTGAGCACTGCTGGGGATGGCCCAAAACCCAACTCGGAAACCAAAACAATGAATATAACATTTTGTAATTTAAACTTAAGAGATACGAAAAACGTTCATTTTGGGGATATAGTACAGAGTAATAGTACAGCAGAGATGACGTTTGCCTTGCACGCAGCCAACCTGAGTTCGATCCCCAGCGTCCCATAGGGTCCCCTGAGCACCACCAGGAGTAAACCCTGAGCACCGGGGCCGGAGCATTAGCACAGCGGGTGGGGCGTTTGCCTTGCACATGGTCGACCCGGGTTCAATCGCCGGCATCCCATGTGGTCCGCTGAGCACTACCAGGAGTAATTCCCGAGTGCAAAGCCAGGAATAACCCCTGAGCATTGCTGGGTGTGACCCAAAAAGGAAAAAAAAAAAAACCCTGAGCACCACTGGGCGTGCCCCCCCCAAAAAGTTCCGTTGGGTTGTGTGGAGAGCCAAATATGTTCCTTTCAACATGTAATGCTAGGTACCAGAGAGAGAGTATAAGAGGCAGGGTGCTTGCCTGGGCGTAATCCCCAGTACCCCAGACACTGCCAGGAGTAAGTTCTGAGCACAGCTGAATGTGGCACCTCCCCCCAAAAAAAATTAATATTATTTTTTGCTTTTTTGTTTGAGGGTCACACCTGGCAGTGCTCAGGGGTTACTCCTGGCTTTGCACTCAGGAATTACTTGTGGTGGTGATTGAGGACCATATGGGAGGCTGGGGGTCGAATCCAGGTCAGCCGCATGCAAGTCCAGCGCCTTCCCTGCTTGCTGTACCATCACTCCAGTCCCAAACACATCATTCTCTGCATCATTCTCTGCATTCCTCTCCTCCTCCTCCTCAGCCTGGAAAACAGTCTTGTTTTTAGTGCAGGGCTATAACCAGGGCCACAAGCGTGAGAAGCTTCAGCTTGTCCGTCCTCCGGGGCCCATCCATAAGACAGCTCAGTTTGGTTTGTTAGTTGGTTCCTTTCTTTTTTTTCTCATTTTTGCTTTTTGGGTCACACCTAGTGTGTAAGCTCACACAAGAGGGGCGCAGCACACCCACAGCGGCGGTGGCTCTATCTCTCCCGCCGCCCGCGTTCGGTAGTCTCACCCTTCTCCCACCCCGAGAGGTCGATGGCGATGGTCAGGCGGAGGAAGGAACGAGGGCCAGGCTGGTAGGTATTCGTCGTACTTTATTCTGATTCTCTCTTTATCTGTCTCTGCTCCTGTCTCTCTCTGTCTCTCCTCGTCTCTGCTCCCCCCTGCCCAATCTACCATCTCCTTATATCTCTCTCCAAGAGAATGGGGGGGAAACAATTACATATAGGTGTGGTCACAATCAATAGGGGTGGAGATCAACAGGGGTAGAAATCTTGGCCTCAGGGAAGACCGCTCCTAGGACGGATCCTTCCTCAGCAGGAGGACCCACCCTAGAGCATAATCCCATGGGCGTGCCTCTCCTCTCCTTGTCCGACAAGCATATAAGAATATAATATAAATCATTTTGTATGGATACAGTAAGAAATCTTAAACTTATAGAATTGCTCTCCTAGGGCCATCTCGATCTCAGACTACGGTGCTCAGGCCAGATAGTCTTTCCCACCCCTAGCAGGATCCTAGTCTCGTCGTTACCTTTGGATCATGACAGCATTTGTCCATGATCAAACTCTTATAGTTAAGAATCATGGCACTTTGGCCTGGCCCATTTCCCTGCCAGGGTAGCTCACCGCTTGCCCTGGGTCCATTCAGTCCCTCGTCGGGACCCTGCTTTTGGGGTGTTAGGAACTAAGGGCAACTGAGGCTTAAGTCGAGAAAGAAGATGGCCGGGAGTGAATAATATTCAAGGCCAATCAAATCCTAAGTTACAAAGCATAATGTTAATGGTCTTCCTGTATCTATACAAAAAGGATATTACTTTAAGGTAAACTGTTCATAAGGCATAAGGAGAGGAGAAAGGCAATATTTCACTCATACATATAAAATCATAGATTTCTGGGAAACTGATCTTACAAATTAACAAAGTCTGGTAAAAGGTAAAGGTAAAGGCCCTCCCGTTGATCGTCGATTTGCTCGAGCGGGCCCAGTAACGTCTCCATTGGAGACTTTGTTGTTACTGTGTCTGGCATATCGAATACTCTCGGTAGCTTGCCGGGCTCTCCGAGAGGGGCGGAGGAATCGAACTCGGGTCGGCCATGTTGGCCGCTTGTAAGGCGAATGCCCTACCCGCTGTGCTATCGCTCCAGCCCAACAAAGTCTGATTAAGGGGAAAGCTGATTAACTGGGTGGGAAGGAGAGCATAGGGAAGACTGTTTACAGATAAACACAATGGAAGTGGAAGTGCTTCAGGAGCACTGTGATGGGTGTAACCAGATTGATGGGCGTAACCAGATAAACCTAAGCTTCTTGTTGAAGGACAAAGCAACGTTACCCAACACCTAGCAATGCACAGGGGTTAGTCCTGGTGGTGCTCAAGGGACCATATGGGATGCTGGGAATCGAACCCAGATCGGCCGCGTGCAAGGCAAACGCCCTACCTGCTGTGCTATGGCTCCAGCCCCCTGCGCCAACCCTTTTTTTAAAGACACAAACCCTCTTTGTTAACAAACTAGTCTACAGGGACCAGTGGGATTGTCCAATGGTTAGCGCCTATGCTCTGCTTGTGGGAAGCCTGGGCTCAAAACCCAGTGCC